CAGATGACATAAAAGGCCAATAGAATCTAGCTTTCACCTTCTCTAGAGTACGTCCAGTAGCGAGATGGCCACCACCACTCTCATTGTGCATCCTAGTCATAATTCTCTGTCGCAAACTGACAGGTACAACAAGTTGCAGGAATGATTTGCTACCGTCTAGTGAAGTGTACGTACGATACAATAAGCCATCTTGTAGAACCAGCCGTTTCCACTGACCCCACAGACGTATCAAGGTCAATGATGCTCCTTTCATAGCACTACCACTGCGTTTAGGCCTGTCTAACAATGCTTGTTGCCAACCAATCATGCAGTCAATGTCACTGTCTTCCGCTTGAGCCTTCCGAATATCTTCTACTGTGAAGAAGTCTGACCAGTTTATCAAATCAGCACTTACATCATCAGGACTGCTAAGCTCGCAGGCGACCGTCTCACCGCTAGTAGTAGTTTCATCTAAGCTGGCGTAGGCAGTAGCGCTCGTGTCATTCGAAGAGTCTTCAGCTTGTTGTACCGGCGAAGAGTTGTCAGTGTCATGCGATGAGTCATCAGCTTGTTGTACCGGAACTTGTAAAGCTGCTGTTGTACCTGTAGACATTGTACAGTCACACTGAACAGAAGGATCATAACATTGCTTGTTATTAGTGTTAGTAGACGAATCTAGGATCGGCGAGGCTGTCGGAGTTGCAGCGGAATCAGGATTAACGAGCTGCTCAGGAAATCGAGATAAACCATCCGCATTGCCATGCTGAGAGCCTTTCCGATGTACCACTGTGAAATCAAACGGTTCCAGCTTCTCTATCCACCGTGCAAGAATGCCTTCAGTGTCCTTGAATGACTTTAACCATACCAGCACCTTGTGATCAGTTCTGAGAGTGAAATTTGCTCCAAGTAAGTAGTGTTTGAAATACTGCATGAAGAAAACTACAGCATACATCTCACGGCGCGTGGTGCTGTATCGACGTTGACTCTTGCTCAAAGCTCTGCTTGCAAATGCAATGACTCTTTCTCTGCCCTGGTCATCAATCTGGGATAGAGTAGCACCAATGCCATAGTCTGAAGCATCTGTATCCAAGATGAACTTACGATGAGCATCAGGATACGTCAGAATCGGCGGCGTTGTGAGGCGGTGCTTCAAAGTGTCAAACGCATCTTGACACTCATCAGTCCAGACAAAGTCGACTTTCTTCTGCGTGAGCTTGTGCAGTGGTGCCGCTATCGTGGCGAAGTCCTTGATGAAGCGTCTGTAGTAAGAGGCAAACCCAACAAACCTGCGAACTTCCTGCACAGAGGCAAGTGCCTGCATATTAGTGACAGCACTGCAGTTGGTTGGTTTAGGGGCCACACCCCCTCCTTCAAAGACATGTCCCAGGTACGTTACGGACTTTTGCAGAATCTGGCATTTGCGAGGCTTAACCTTAAGACCAGCTGCACGGAATTTCTCAAACACAAGCCGTAACCGCACAAGATGCTCATCAAAGGTAGTAGAGAATGTGATCGTATCATCAATGTAAGCCGCGCAGGCCTTCGGTACTATATCACCCAGTACTGCATTCATCAATCTCTGAAATGTAGCTGGAGCATTGCATAACCCAAACGGCATGACTTTCCACCCATACAATCCGAAGGGGGTGACAAACGCTGCTTTAGCCCTGGCTGCGTTGGTGAGTTCCACTTGCCAATACCCTGATGCCAAATCCAACGTGGAAAAGTACTGTGCTTCACTCATGTGATCTATCGCATCATCAACTCTCGGTATGGGAAATGCATCTTTCACTGTTACTGTATTCAACTTACGATAGTCCACACACAGCCTTATTGAACGATCCGACTTCCTAACAACAACGATTGGTGCTGCCCATGGGCTGTTGGACGGCTCAATCAAACCTTCATGCAGCAAATTCTCAACATGGTCCCGTACCTCATCTGCTTGATGCATTGGGAGACGACGTGGTGCTTGACGAATGGGCCTGGTGCTGGTAGTCTCGATGTCGTGTTGAATGACATCGGCAGAGCCAAGGTCCATAGGTCCAGTGGACATGATGTCCCTGAATTCCGAGAGCAGTTCTCGTACAGCAGTGGCTTCCTGTGGTTCCAAATGGCTGAGGTCAAACAACTCCACAGGGTCAGAAACATCATTACAGTAGAGTCGCGCGCCCAAGAACGTTGTTTCCAAGGGGTTAGCCTGGGACGTTCTTATTTTTTCTGCAATCTGGCTGCGTTCTTATACCACGTTCTTAGAAACAATCCGTACTGGATCATATGTATTCCACAAGCTGCCAGAAAACCAACACCGCCGTTCTTAGCTTTAGGCTGTGGTGTTCTTAGAATTTCAGGCTGGACGTTCTTGGGCTCTGCGTTCTTCAGCGCGCGACTCTACTGTAGCACAACACGTTTCCACATCACAATTCGTGCCAACATGCTCCGCATTATCCTCGTCAAGAACCGTACATTGCTCAAATGTGCCCAAGACAGTATCTTTGTGGATTGTAACAGGTCGTGACAATAAATTCTGAAGGCGGACGGGTACAGTGTTCTCTTCGCTAACAGTTGTCACAACTCTAGCCGTTCCCATGCAGAATTTGTCTACAAATGTTTCAGATGGTTCGACAAAACCACACAACTTCGGAATTGGCAAAGTGGTGCTAATTTTCGCCCTGGTGATTACTTGACCATAGCCTGAGACAACAACAGTTTCAGCTAGTTGTACTGGAGCTGGATCAGTAAACTGTAAACTATGGCAAGACGGTGTAGGGGAACCCTCTCTGGAAAGCAACTGCAAAGTAGAATGTCCAATTCGAAGACAACTAAAGTAGAATGTCCAATTCGAAGACAACTGCCTGCTAGGTCCAGGATACAGCCATGTTTAGCAAGAAAGTCAATGCCTAGGAGGACATCAGGTTCGATATCTGCCACAACCATCATATGGGACCTGACAACATCCCCTAGCTGAATAGTTACTTCTATTGCTCCCTTAACTTGCACAGCACTGCCATCAACACTTCGCACTCGGGTACTGCAATTTTACAACTTTGCATTCTCAGATCTGGAGAAAAAATTCGTGCTTATGAATGATATTGAGCTGCCAGAGTCAATGAGCATCTTCAAATCTTGCAAACAAAGCGGAATGATTTTACCCAGAACAAATTGGCACTTGCTTACAGTGACCGAGTGACACACCTCGGAGGGCACGGCGTGTTGCACCTCCGGGTCTGGCAGTGGTGGAGCTGGCGGTTGACCCTTCTCACCAGCTCTCCTCAGTTTCCCTGGTCAGGACTGCGCTGCCGCTGCTGTTGCTGCTGCGGTGGAGGAGGCTCCGGGCAATTGGCGATGAGATGCCGAGGGCTGCCACAACGGTAGCATGATCGCTGCCCACGACGCGGTGCTGCAGTTGCCAGAGCGGCTAGGGTTTCCTCCAACTTCGACATCCTGGCCAGGAGCTCCGTCATCCCGTCAGGTCGTGCGGCACATACAGCTACAGCAGGTGGTGGCTGTGACGTGAGGTCCGTCTGCAGGATGGCCAGGGCCCGTAGCGCGTGCTGCAGTGCGGCATCTAGAGTGGCGGGAGCCTGCCGCCGGACATCAAGGCGTAGCTCTCGGCTGTCCAACCCGTCGATATACTGGTCCTTGGCAAGCTGCTCGCGGACGTCGGCTGCCAGGGCGGGGTAGGCTAACCTCACGGCCCTTCGGATAGCCTCGCAGAAGTCGGATAGGGACTCTCACCTGGCCGCTGGCGCCTGGCCTTGAGCTCTGCTCGGTGCACATCTACTCGGACGGCTGGCGAGAATCTGCCTTCTAGGGTTGACACGAGTTGTGCAATGTCTGCGCGTACTACATCTGTTAGCGAGCCGTAGTAGGACTGCGCGTTGCCAACTAGGTACAGGGGGAGGTAGTCGACCTGTTCTTGTGGTGTCCAGGCGTTAACTCGTGACACTTGCCGGAAGTGTGCGATCCAAGTTGTCCAATCAGCAGACGCACTGCCATCAAATTTATCCGGGGTAGCGCACGGCCGGAGACGAAGTGGGTTGACTGCTTGCTGTTGTTGGGCCATCTCTACACACGGGTAAGATATCTTCCATCCAACAAAACAACAAACAACAGAACTTAATACCGCTGCCACCGGATGTAGCCTGGCCTCAGTGGGCCAGGCAGCAGACAAGGAGAATCATCAGATCAAACTCACAAGTAGGTCACAGTTCAGTTGTAGATCAGATGTAGACTCAGAATCAGACTGAATTGGAAGAGGATGAACTGATGTGTGACAGCCCTACTTATACCTGGCCAGAGTGCTCTCTGTCCAATCAGGAGCTATACCTGTGACTACCATGACTACAGGTGTGGTGCAACTGCACCAACTAGGAATGCAGTGAGTCATGCATGATGTCAAGTAACAGATGCCTGCTAAAAAAGTATGAAAACAAGAAAAAAGATTCAAGCTTTACAACACTGAGGTGGCTCGAACCTAAACTACACGATCTACTGTTTCCAAACCACTGTCATCCCTCCATACAAGGTACAATGAATGAGGCATGCCCAAATATGCAATATGCACTGTGTTACAGAAGCTAAGGGAGAACAGTTTGGAGAGTGGCTTACTTATTAGGGGGTCAGCACACATCTTCAGAACTCGCGCGGGAATGCAATCCGGTCCAGTAGCTTTCGATGCATTTAGGCGCCGGAGTTCTCTCTTGACAGTGGCAGGGCGGAACCGAACTGATGAGAGCTTTTCAGCCGTGCGCTGAGCAACGTGGGGGAAATCAGTCGCTGGTTGGTTGGTGGGGAAGTCGTCGGCGCCCAGGCTGCACTTTGAGGCGAAATACTGCCCCAAACACTCAGCTTTCCTGCTCCTCTCTCTCCCTGTCCTTGTTGCATAAATCTAATAATGACTGTCTGTAGGTAGGGTTTTGGTTTCAGGGATTTCGTTTTCCACCTGGGCATTTATTTATATTACCGCACACATGAATTTCTAAATACCATAATTATGCTACACGCACACAACACACATCTGAAGGTTGCCTGTATATCGCAGGTCAAGTTGAATAATTTATACTGAGCATTCAAGTGGTGTACACAGCATTAGCCAGTAGGTTTGAAGTAATAATAGTTGAGGCATATCTCCCTTCTTTAGGACAGAACTATTCGTGGCGCCAGCGCAAACATATTTCGTAACTTATGATAACGCAGAAGAAAGAGGGGTCAATCGAATCAAAACACGTATAAAAAAATTTAAAAGAAGGATATATTATAGGATTTGATAATGCCGTTCTGTATGTTCTTATTATGTGATCGGTAAAATATATCTCGGCTGATATGCATGCACACATTTTCCTCATTTCCCTGGCTCCTTACATAGTTCATTTGTCATGCTATACTTCTTCAGATTTTCCTTTCTACAACATTACAATTTATTGAACATGCCTTTCTTATCTGTCATCATGCTGCCGGTTGCCGAAGACCGGGTGGATCAGCCTTGTAGCCTTGACCGTTATTATTTTCATGCACAGTCGAGTCAGCCTGTTCGTTCTTCGGAGACTGCCAGTACCGTACTGTATGCTGCTGATAGGATTGGCAGGTGAGTAGAGACCTATGCTGCTGATAGGGTTGACGGTTGACGGTGCTTCGAGATCTATTATTCATCATTTGCTGAGCGGCGCGCGGTTTTCAGCTGGAAGCCACCGCGTATCTCTCCCATCAGGTTATCAAGTATGTTGCCACCCTCGACCAGCGGTGCAGAGCCCATTGGCTGCTTGCTTCCTCCGGCAGCGCCCTTCTTCTCGGCCTTCTTCTTGGCTTCCTCCTCCAGCTGGAGTTTGCGTCTGCGCGTTCTCTCCTCCAGCTCGCGTCGCTTTGCGTTCTCCTTTAGCGCGTGAAATGTCCGTGACACGCACATATGCATGCACACACACGCACATACACGCACGCACACACACATACACGCACTCGCACGCACCCACACACGCACGCACCCACACACGCACGCACTCGCACACACACACACACACACACAATTATGTAATGCGTATTAACATGTGCATGCAGATAGACAAACATACGAGCAGACGGCACACACATACACGAACACGCATGTGCATGCACACAATGTGCGGTCATATGCACAAACATATGCACAAACATATGCACAAACATATGCGCAATCAGACAGCTGTCGACGAATATGTACCGGCTGGAGTAAGTGTGGCTGAAATTACGAAATCACAACTATATCTAGAAATGAACTTTAGAGTCGGTCAGAAGGCCTTGGGAGGTTGATAGGTGAGGAGGGTTGCCCAAAGCAGTGATGTTTTTTTAGAATTCTGCTCTCACGTTTTCAGTCAAAGCTGAATTCTTCAGCCAGGTTTTTATGACCTTGTAAGATCCTAAGCATGCTATTCGATGCTCCTACATACGCATCCAGTGTAAGGAGAAGGGGATCATCTTTATTAAGCTCACCTGTCCCGCCTCAGCAAGTCGCTTGCAAAACTTGAGCAACACCTGGAAAGTGCCTTCCAGATCGAAGTCCTTGGGCGTCTCCAGGAAGTACACTGCCAGCTCGTCTTTCTTGTCCGTCAGCTTCTTGATTGACGCTGAGACGCTGGCGACTTCATCAACTGCTTTCTGTGCAATTGATAAGAACGATTTTAGGTCACAAGCAAAGCTAGTAAGTGCAGGTAGCCACTTAACCTTGTTACGTTGGCCTTCAAAATATACCTCAAGAAGTGCGGGTAATCAGGACTGGTTTGCTCACTCGGCTGGTTTCAAGGTGTGCCGTGCCAGTGTTGTTTTTGACCTCTACACAACCTGCACGCACGAGCGGTCAAAATATACTTCAAGAAGTGCGGGTAATCAGGACTGGTTTGCTCACTCGGCTGGTTTCAAGGTGTGACGGGCCAGTGTTGTCTTTGGCCTCTACACAACCTGCGCGCACGCGCGGTCCGCACGGACACAGCACCAAAAGGGGACCTCGCATAGGTCACAAATACACACACACACACACACACACACGACCAAAGGGGTCCGCACGGACACAGCGCCAAAAGGGGACCTCGTATAGGTCACCAATACACACACACAGCCAAAGGGGGACCTTCTAGAGGTCACGTACAACACCAGTTTTCATGCTCCTTGGAGTTGCGTACAAGACATCCTGCTAGCTGCGCAGGGCAGCGGTGACGTCATCATGAGTATACATAGTCAGAGTGCAGCGTTTCAGTCACTGTTAACCCTTTGCATGCTGGGCCGTTTTCCCTGGTTCTCCAGGTGATTTCAGGCCAAAAATGGAAAATTTCAAAATTGGAGTTTCTTTGAATTTGTTTCTTGTAGATGCTTCAGTGTCATAATAGACACTCACTGGTGAAGTTTGAGCAGAATACACATAGCAAAAGTTGTGCTAATAGCCTATTTACAATTGCCGGTCTAGTGGATTATTCCGCAAATTCTAGCAAAAAATGGAATTTTTTTAAATTGAAGTTTCTTTGAATTTTTTCTTGCAGATGTTTCAGTGGTATAAAAGACACTAACTGGTGAAGATTGAGCAGAATACAAGTAGTCAAAGTTGTGCTAACAGCCTAATTACAATTGCCGTTCCGTGTTTTTTACGCAAATTCTAATGGCCTAGAAGTATTATTGAAGAGTGTTACTGCTGCTGTGATGGCAGTATTGTTCAAAGCTGATGATTTCAAGCTCTACCAATGTACTAAGTGTTCTAATCAGTTTATGTAGAAAAGCTAAATTCACGCCGATGTGATATGCACTCAAGTAACTCAACCCAATGCAATTATACGTTAGAACAAATCTGGACATATTTACTTTTTGAAGTACAAGTTTACAGCCCGCTGTTGATTCTAATGACCTTTTTCCAATTACAGCAGCCTGCAGTTAGTACCTGCTTCGTGTGTGATAGATCTCGAAGCAGGGCTCGACGCATAGAGACACATGGTTGTGGCATGTTTTGCAGCGGTAGCGCGTTTCCCTGCGAATGCCGCGAGATGTGCACATAACACAGCGACGCAGGACAACGGCCTTGGCTTCTGTGGCCGGGTGCTTCTCGGGAAAGTGTTTCCCCGTCAATCGGTCCTGGGCAGTAGCAGTAGGAGTAGCTGCAGCAGCAAGCTCAGCATCCGCAGCTTCAACCAGGACATGCACGGCTTTCTGGACAAATGCATGGTGCTTTTTCTTGCCACCATGCATTCGGTAGGTAATGTACGCATTCTGCACAGCTTCTTCGACAAAGTGAAACCCGACTTTTACGTACCATTTGAGCGTGCGGCGTACTGCGGAGAACGCTGTCACCATGGCATCATTCTTGTCCACGCCTCCCATCCGGCTGTTATACTGGTGGTTCACCTGGAGCCTCTTTACGTACTGGCCTTGTCGAGTCGTTTTGCCGGTGCGAACAAGATCAGCATTGTGAACTGTTGACAGTAGGTAGATGACTGTTTTGTCATGTAACTTCACCAGCAGAAGCGCACCTTTTCTGCGGAACGCATACTGTGCTTTCGGGAAGTCCAGTTTCTTCAGCTCGTTAGGTATGCCGCGACGGTTGGCGCGCATCGTACCGCACATGCCGGTCGTATTGGCCTTGGGGTAAGTTGCTAGATCAAGCGATGTGTACCAATTGTCTAGATAGACATGATATCCCTTGCCGAGTAGCTCACCCATCAGATGCACGACAATGGCACCAGTTGATCCTAGCTGAACAGTGTGTGGGAGAGGGTTGGCGGGCCGACCAGTGTAGATAGAAGCCGACCAGTAATAGCCGGAGGTGTCGCAAAGAGCGAATACCTTAACGCCAAAGCGCGCTCGCTTGCTAGGGATGTACTGTTTGCAAAGCAGTCTGCCCATGAAGAGAACAAGCTCCTCATCGATGCTGATGAACTGCTGAGGCACATACGTTTGCTTGAATATATCAATGAGCATGTCGGTCAACGGTGACAGCTTGGCCAATCGATCGCCTGGCACAGCGTCATTGTTGTCAGCGAAATGGAGGAACTGGAGAATGCCCAGAAACTTGTCACGCTTCATGATGCGCGCAAATCCAGGTGTCTCACTGAACGAATCTGTAGACCAATATTGCTGCAACTGAGATTTGCGTACTATGCCAGATAAGAGGTAAATGGCAATGAACTTTTTCATGTCAGGTACCGTGATGGGTTTCCAAGACTTCGCTCTGGAGTGCGGTGGCAGGTCAGGATTAGAAGCGATATACTGATCAGCATAGCGGTTTGTCTCACGCACTAGGAGCTCAAATACAGCATCTGGCAGGAACAGTCCGATGAAATACTCACTCCAGCGTCTGCAGGTGGCTGTGTAGTTAGGCCAGGCTGCACACTTAGAGCTGGTCCGGGATTTGCGTCATTTCGCCGCGTCCAGCGCGAATCGTCCAGTGCATCCGGTGAATTATCCACATTATGGACACATGTGTGGGTTATGAAATCACCTGGGTCAGCAGCAGCAGCAGCAGCAGCAGGCTCAGCATCATCATCACTACTTATCCGCGCAGGTTCATCTACATGCATAAACAAAAAATTAAACAAATTTGATTTTTTTGGAATTTTCCGGAAATACAAATAATTCCTTGCATACCTTCAAATACTGAATCGTCCTCGTTGTCGGCATCGGCATGATTTTGCTCGACAGTCATTGTCACCGAGTCATCAACGTCGTCCAATGAAGCGGCGGCAGCAGCTGCCAGTAGATCAAGCGAGCTACCGTCACCTCCACAACCCTGAGAATACGAGTCAGTACGAGCGTCGTCCAAATGCACGTCTGTATCGTCCCACGATCCGTCAGGTTCATTCTCGGACTCACTGTCCATAAATATCTGCTGGATGGCATCATCAAGAGACACCGATGTGGCCACCTAGTCCCCTCCGACCTCCAGAACTCCCAGACGACAGCAAAAACTGAAACTGGTCAAATTGTATTTCGCACTTACAAAATTTAAACGCGGATGGATCGCATGCACTGATGCTTCAGGATGCCGCGATCGCGGCTGGTGCTACATATCGGCACACGTCTAGGGTAGCGTACAGACACGTATTCACGAGTCGGCAAGCCCTATCTAGTTGGCTAGACCCCAAGAGAAAGCACCCAAATCGTATTGAAAAATGCGCATGTATACACGTCCTCAGAGAACCGGCACGGGGTTCAGGCGCGTGTATACACGTCATCCGCACGCAAAGGGTTAAGAATGATGATGGTAATGTAACGGCAGGAACGCAGCCCACACACACACACACACTGTTACAGGGTACAACTCCTTGCCCGGACTACAAACAATAGCTTAGTTTTCAAGGAATACCGATACAGTTTCAGTTTTAGACGGACCACCTTCCACAGTCTGCGTATCAATATCCCTCCTTTTATAGCTTATATGCCTATATATGGTGAAACTGTAACCTTACGTCCAGATAGTCCTTGGCCTGTTCCTTGATGTCATCCGACACGGTCGCTATGTTCTTCTGGGCCATCATGAGTCGGTTAGAGAGTGCACTGCACTCACTTTGTACATTGCTCACGGATAGCCTGTGTGTGCGCACAGGGTACAAGCGCGCGCACACATACGCACGCACACACGCACACACACACACACACAAAGGAAAGGGACAAGGACAAGATAGCTCAGTGGTCAGAGCATCGCTGGCCTCAAGCGAAGGTCCCTGGTTCGAGTCCTGGTGGTTACTTTTCCCGTTTGCATCTTTCCCTCCAACATGTGAAGACAAGATATTACCACATGTACATGTATATTACTGTCCGCAGATTGAGTATTGTGTATATTACTGTCAATGATAGGTCTTGAATGTACCATTTTTCTCAAATTCCGTACTGCGGACGAAGGAGTGATCTTCCGTACAAATACGGAAAAAGGTTGGCGGCACTGCTAATGAGTATGTCACAGTATGTGTTCCGGTCAAGGCATCAACACCACCCATCCATGCTAGCAGTATCTTAGTCGAAGCAAAGAAATGCCACCTGTCTACTCACCGCGTCGCCTTCTCCAGTATGTCTAGCTTCTGGGGCAGTCCGAGCAACTCCGGGTGCTTCTGTTCAATGAACTAGAGAAGAGTGTAGTGTAGCGGAGGGGATAGAGAACGAGAGAACACGAGAGTGAGAGAGAGAGAGAGAGACCGGAAGATGGATGGATGGACAGACGGACGGAGAGAGAGAGAGGATAGAAGACTAGATGGAAAGCCTGAAAGAGAGCATAATTGAGACAACTGGGCATACATTGCCGTAATTGCAGCCCTATTCTGCCAGTGATGCAGCGCACAGACTCTAAGGATGTGCATACTATTCACTCAATTCTCACATGAAACCCATCACAGTCTGAACAAAGTAGCGGTGTAGACCAGGGCACATACACACACGTGCAGTAACAGCACATCCTGTACTCGTATGCACTAGGGCTCACCTCTGCCAGGAAGTGCACCAGTGTCATACGCGGTGCGTTCGCACGCGTGTCGTCCAGCTTGAGCAGCGTCTCCAGACGAAAGCCAGCCGCATTGCCAGCATTTCCGCCCTATCCATTGATACATGAACAACGCACACTGATGATTATCGATCAGCTAACTTCACTGCCTGAGGTACCGTATCACTGATAGTCACGTTCCATGCATGCACCACATGGGTACTTCAACCATGTGTTTTCATGACATGTTCAAATCCAGGGCAGACAGCAGACACATGGCTACGTGAGCAGACACAGTTTCTCGGTATTCCGGGAATTTCCGCCCTGCGCATCTGGTGCATGTACGTAGGGCCTCTACGCAATTAGCTTAGTGGGGATGAACGTGCAAGTAATTAGTTGTGTCAATCAAGAGCACAATGCAGTGTTGTGGAGTAACAGGACGTGTTGGTTTACACAGTGGGCAGTTTCTAGTGGCCACCCATGTGTGCACAGAAAACCGGTCTTTATTGACAGGTGGTCTTTCTTTGCAGGTCTAGAGTACGTGTATATATGTGAAGGCATGGTCTAGTGTGTGAGATGACCGGCCACTTAACACAGGTGCTGGGTATCCTATTGCAGTGGTTGCTGAACACAGGTGTTAGATCTCCTATTGCAGTGGTTGCTGAACACAGGGGTTTTACCTGTAGCTGAACGAGGAATTATGTGCTAAAAAGTCCCAGTCATGGGTAAGTACATTGTATGTATGCGTCTACTTGAAGGAATGGAATGCAACATCACAGTTTCACTCTTGGTTTTGCTCAAGGTCTACGTACAGAGTTGAGGAAGTTTCCCACTGTCAGAACGATGAGGAAGACTTTGCGCAGCTCTTCACACTCGCGCACGTCTACAGCACCGGACAGCAAAGCAGCAACATGAAAACCACTCACATGTCGAAAAAACACACAAACTGTTTTTCACTGTATGCCAGGGTGTCAAGGGTCCTGCAAGTCGAGGGCACCAAATATGCACTTTTTTGGGGTTGGATTTCACGAGCGTAACTGGACTTGTACCCATGTACTTGTCGTAAACTGGCAATCCCGGGACACACATATACACTATTGTTGTCACATACTACTGTAAAAGCCATATGTCACGTCCTGGACGTGACCCTCGCGGTTTGACAGATCTTGTGACAGCAGGATCTGTGTAGTGTGCAGCTCTGTGATTGAGCTGTCACAATCTATACTATCACGTGGTTTGGCCAGTGTCTTGTCCCACGTGTTGAGCATGTAGGTTGAGCGGCACGCGCTGTTCCGCGTAGGTGTCATGCTTTTGGGTGTGATATCCCACGTTGGTGTCATGTCTCTTGGACATGACACATCGTATGATTCACCGCCGGAACCTGGTCAGGTAGGTTCTCGCGTGGAATGTTCTAGGTATGTTCCAGGAAGTTCTTGACTTCCTGGAAATGTACGCTCTAGGCTTCATGCAAGATCATGTGACTGAGAAGTCCTATTGATTTCCATGATCCCTTTCGCGCTTCGTGCAAGACACGAAGGGCCGTGCGCAAAAGAATGAGAGCTGAGTGCAGAAGAATGAGAGCTGAGTGCAGAAGAACGAGAGGCGTGCGCAAAAGAGCGGGGAACCGCGCGCAAAATGAAGGCGCAAAAGGAAGGCGTGGCAAGCGCGGTACAGCGACGCCGCGGTGACCCGCGAAGGGCCCGCCGGTGAAGTTCCCGGAAAAGGGACGCGGATATGAACCAACATCCCGCCGGAGTTACGCTGTTCTATCACGTCGGGTGAGCGGGCTCCCCGACGTGATCCATATAATTCCAAGATTCCCGCGGAGACGTAGGTGAGCGGGCTCCCTACGTCCCGATCCGGCTTTTTGCTCCGTTTGTGCTAATTATTCATTGTCGTTTTCGTTATTGAACTATTGATCTTTTGCTGTTTCCTTGCCATGCATGCGTTGTCAAACCTGTATTGTTTGCCGATTTCTAAGAACTATCACGCACCGTGCTTTGCACGAACTTCTCCATCTCGTTTCTTTGGTGCATAAAAGAACATTTGTCACCTCATAACAATCACAATTAACTCTCTCCCGAACTTGAGAAATACACTGAGTCTCTCAGACCCTCTACTGGTTGTCTTCTCTTCGTGTGTTAACCAAGGTGAGCAGAACACTAAGTTGGGTCGTCGACTATATTGGTCGACCGCCTGGCGGTTGGATTTGGTTGGGTTATGAGCGATCATGACAGGCAACGAACCTCGCAGGGATGCGACATTTGGTGCTGTGACCAGGATCCCAACGTCTGTGTTCTCTGTTTGACCTGGTTGTTGTAGATGCCACCCAAACGGAACAACCCGCCTACAGACAATTTGCGTGAGCTGCACGAGGCGCTCGCACAGTCGGCCGCCGCCCTGGAGGCCATGCGGCAATTTAATTCAGCGAGGGTGATCCGTCGCTTGCAGCAAGGGCTGACGCAGCTGCATTCGGCCATTAGGTCACTCAACGCGGCAGTCGAACCGTCTCGCAGTTCATCGCCAGGCCCCGTGAATTACCGGCAGAGGGATGGTGCACGGTCCCCGGGGCCCTCTCCCAAACGGCCATGCCGTGGGGAAGAGGGGGTCCCCAGGACCAGTCGGAACAACAGCGTCGAGCGTCCACGCTCGGTGTTGGCGGCGACAACGCCGGGACGGCCGCCGGCCAAACCGGTTCACCACCCTGCCAAAGACCGGCACACGAAGGCTACCGTGGCCGCAGCGGGAGAGGCGGCCCCAAAGCCGCCTCCTCCTGCTGTCGCGGCGGAGCGCGAGGAACAAATGAGACGGAGAGAGGCGGAACTGGCGACGGCCAAGGCTGAAGCCCTGGTCGAGGAAAATTTGAAGGCGGCGGAGGAAAGGATGATGGAAGACTGATTTCATTATTCACCCTCATATTCATAATCTCAATCCTGAACCGTGGCCAGATGGCACAAAAATCAAACTGCTCGTGTTCTGTGGGTGTGCTAAAAGACAAGGAAGTTTTTACTTCCGTGGTCTTGTGGAAATTAGCATGCAGGGACATCAGGGGTTGAGGCGGGAATCCTTTGGGCAGCTGCATAATATTCGAATGCATATATGGGTGACAGTGATAATAACACAGCACTGAGAGAGGCGGGTAGAGAGTGTAATGGTATTCAACAAGTTACGATCAGGCCAGACTTGTAGGACACAGTCTGGTCTGTACGGGACGGAGTTAGTGCATGTAGTCTCTACATATGATTTCTGCACGCGCACGCGGCCTAAAAAGCACGTGCGCCAGCAGGAAGATGGAACTACACCGTAGTACACGCACGAAAAGCGTGTGTGATAGGGTGGCTGAGCCAGGAAACTGTCGGCAGCCCCGGAACCAACTAGGGCCCAAAGTACTAGTGCGTACCTGTACTTCGGACCTAAGCGCCAGCTCGGCGGTAGCGCGGTGATTCGAGACCACCACTACTGCCGCACGGAGAATCCTAAATACAGCAGGTTGACTGTACCCCGCACGCAGAGGTGCGAAAACGGCCCAGCTCAGGCGCGGCCGTTCCGCATGCACGTGTCAAAACTTCGGGTCCATTAGTTCAATCTGATGGGGGGTCCCGAGGCCAGTGCAGTGTGCCATAAAAAGCTGTCACCGGAGTGCGAAGTCCGCGACACAGCCGGTGGTTGTGAGCACGTCGACTTGCGCCGATTCCAGTACGCGTACATAAATAAGGGCCTGCGGTCCACCAGCATGTATGCGTGACGCGACGTCTGGGACGACGTCGATAACGGGTTTTGGAGCAAGCCATACCAGGCTCCTCCAAAGAACGAGGAGATAACAGCTAGTTTCCGACAACTAGCCTTATGCCACGTAGGCCGACGCCGACGGCGCAGCACGGGTCACCATGGTGACGCGCAATCTTAGGCCACGTCAGCTAGGTCTGGGTACGTGCTCGACGCTGATTGGTCGAATATCCTGCTGGAGGGGAATAAAAGGAGGTGCCGAGGACAGAATTCGCTCAGTTGTCTTCAGCCCTCCTGAGGATCGCGACAAGCTCTGAGCAAGCTAGTGGCCATCTTCTTGGTTGTCAAGAAACTTCTTGAAGCAGTGCTTTAAGTTTGTCTTGTTCTTGAGGTCTTGGTTCTAAAAATGAATCAACGCCAGAACCCTGCTGCAGCCGCTCCGCCGGCCCCAGCACAAGCCGTGCGACCGGCTGTGATGCCGGAAGCATTTAACGGCACAGGAGATTGGGTGGAGTACCTAGAGTACTTCAACCAGTGTGCAGCCGTGAATGGCTGGAACAATGCGCAGCGCGCACAATTCCTAGCCGTACGGCTGCGAGACGCCGCACAGAAATTTCTCGCCTCAATTCCGGCCGCACGTCGGGCGGACTGGGACGATCTGGTGGCAGATCTCAACGATAGGTTTGCACCGGCCGGCATAGCGCGGCAGTACAAATCTATGTTTAGAAATCGGCGACGACGCGGCAATGAAGATTTCGGTCGCCTCGCGGACGAATTACGACAGCTGGTAGGGCGGGCATATCCACTTATGCCCGGACCTGTCCAGGAGGAACTGGTCCGGGACCAGTTCATCGATGCAGTTACGCCTAACGCCTTGCGCTTGCGTCTGCAAGAGAATGCACCGGGCACGATCCAGGCGGCGGTTACTATGGCTAACCACCTGGAACGGGTTTGGCAGAAGGAAGACGCTGAGAAGTCTTCTCGACTGCCCCGCACCTTTGAATTAGGTCCGGAGCAGTTGGTTACCGCAGCAGTGGAGCCAAGGGGCCTGAGTCCCGAGGTAGAAGCCTTAACCAAGGTCGTAGCACGGTTGGCCGAACAAGTGGAGCGTAGCCTCCAGGTTCAACAAACCGTCCAGCCACCACCAGGGGCATGTTGGGCATGTGGCCGCATGGGTCACTTTCGCTCCACCTGCCCCGAATTGAATCAGAGGCCACGGGCCCCTGCGGCACGTGGGCCTGGACCCCGTTATCAATCCCGTCCTCGACGGGAGGGAAACGGGCAGTGACCGGAGACGGGGACCAAGTCTCCGGTCAGGATTATGACGGAGGTCCAATCCCGAGCATCAAGGTACCGGATGCTCAGGAGGATGAGGGACGATTGGAACTCGTCGCTGCTCTGGGACGAGCAGCGGAGAACCATAATGGAATGATGATAGATGGCGCGGCCAACGGTATACCAGTCACCATGCTGGTAGATACTGGGTCGGCGGTCAGTTTGATGTCGGAAGCCCTGTTCCGGGATTTGGGATACCAATTGGATGATCTCGAACCCCCGAACAGTGACATCACATTTTGTGGGGCGGATGGGCAGAGGCTCGATGTATGCGGCAAGGTAGTCGCTTGCCTCACTTTGCGTAGCGCAACATGTTGGCACGCTACGGCGGTGGTTCGTGGACTCCACTATCCTTGCCTTATCGGTCGGGATGTGTTGTGCCGAATCCCGTGCGCGATCACGTCCGAGAACGGTAGTTTGCACTTTCAGGCCGATAAAGCCGAAGTGTCGACACTTGACACGGAAGACGTTTGCGGAAAAGTTCACGTTCTCCGTTTACGGAAACGTGTAACCATACCCCCTCTCTCAGAGATTACGGTTAACGCCGTGATCGAAGGAGATGGCGGTGTGCCGCCCTGTGCCATTACGGAACCTGACGGCTGCCTGAGGGGGCCTGATGATGTTATGTTGGCCTACGCATTGGTATGTCCAACGGAAGACGGCGTTCCCGTCCGAGTTTTGAACTGCTCGGAGCAGTGTGTGTCTCTGGGACGAGGCGCTCGGATCGGCCGTCTGCAACCAGTTTGCGCGGTGGGTTGCGTGAGCAACGAAGAAGGAGGGGACGGTGGTGACCATACAGGCCAGGAGGATGTGATTCCTGGGGCCGAAGAAGTATGGTCTGCACTTCATATTGGACGAGGTCCTAGAAGTGGAAAGGCTGTGGTGGGGGAGGATGATTTGGATCCGGACCCCACGGGCACAGTGTTGGCTGACCAGGGGACGCCCTGTGTCGAGGAGCCGGGTAGGCGAGACTCATCTGGGGAGGATGAGTTGTTGCGCCTGAGGTCCCTCGTTGCTCGCTATCGGAAGGTATTCGCTATGAGCTCGGCCGAGCTGGGGCGTACTTCGGTGCTCCACCATCGGATCGAGACTAATGGACGAGGTCCAATTTTCCAAGCCGCACGGCGCTTGCCGTGGGCTTCACGAGAGTCCGCCCGTCAGTTGGTTGAGGACATGAAGGCTCAGGCTGTGGTTGAAGATTCCTGCAGTCCTTGGTCTTCACCGATTGTCCTTGTCCAGAAGAAAGATGGGTCGACTCGGTTCTGTGTGGATTACAGGAAGTTGAACGCGGTTACGGAACGGGATCCATATCCTCTTCCGCGCATCGATGATACCCTCGACGCTCTCAACGGGTCTACGTATTTCTCGACCCTTGACTTGTGTTCAGGCTATCATCAGCTGCCAATGGCGGATGGTGACAAGGAGAAAACTGCTTTCTCGACTCCCGACGGGCACTACCAGTTCACGGTTATGCCGTTCGGAGTATGCAATGGCCCTAGTTCTTTCCAACGGCTCATGAGCATTGTGTTGAAGGACTATCAGTGGCAGATCTGTCTGGTTTACCTCGATGATATCATCGTGTTCAGCCGGACATTTGCCGAACACCTCGAACGGTTGGAGGCTGTCTTTCAACGTCTGTTGGAGGCAAACCTACGTCTCAAACCCTCGAAATGTTTCCTCCTGCGGCGACAGGTAGAATTCTTGGGACACGTCGTGTCTGATGAGGGCGTGGGCACTGATCCCGCCAAAATCCAACGGATTGTGGCGTGGGGCAGGCCGGCGAATGTTGGAGAGGTGCGTGCATTTCTCGGGTTTTGCGGCTATTACAGAAGGTTCATTCGTGCCTTCTCAACCGTGGCACGACCCTTGACTGATTTGACCCGGCAAGACAATTCTTTTGTCTGGTCCGACCAGTGTGAGTCCACTTTTGTGGCTCTGAAAGAACATTTCACTCGTGCACCTATCTTGGCTTACCCCAGGTATGGTCACGATGCGCCACCGTTCATTGTGGACGTGGATGCAAGTGGTACTGGTTTGGGCGCTGTTTTGTCACAGCTTGACGAAAACGGAACTGAACGGCCAATCGCGTACGCGAGCAGGGTGACCTCTGCCGCGGAACGCCGGTATGCCTCTACCAAAAGCGAGCTGCTTGGGGTAGTGTGGGCATTCAAACATTTTCGCTGCTATTTGCTGGGGAAACATTTTCTGGTCCGCACGGATCACAAAGCGTTACAGCATTTGCAGACTTTCAAAGATCCACCGGCGATTATCGCTCGTTGGATGGAATTTTTGAGTCAGTTTGACTTTGACGTGCAGTATCGCCAGGGCCGTGCTCACGCGAATGCCGATGGGCTATCCCGACAGACGTTGCAGCCTGTGGCTGTTGCTGCCGTTTCAGTATCGCAGCTTCCAACTCTGTTCGTCCAACGACGAAACTGGTCACTTGCCGATTGGGCTGCGGCCCAGCAAGCCGATCCTGACCTCGCGCGTCTGCGTGAGTGGCTGACAGCATGTCCTGCCGACCCTGATCTGAGGGGTGTGAGCCCTGACCTCCGTAAGTTTTGGCGAGGACGCCAATGTCTTGTTTTACGGGAGGGTGTGGTTGGTCGGACATGGAGTGGGGATCCAAACAATTTGAAATCCACAACATTTCAAATTTTGGTGCCCGTAGCAATACGTCCCAAAATTTTGGAAGAATACCACGACTACTTGGGTCATGTGGGAATGCAACGAACGCTGACTCAGCTTCGGACTAAATTCTACTGGCACCAAATGAAACGTGATGTAGTGGATTGGGTGGGTACTTGTGGGTCGTGCTCTAGAAGGTCTAGACCAGTCGGTCGTGGACATGGAGCACCCTTGCAGGTCACCTGGAATGGTTACCCGTTTGAACGGATCGCCATGGATTTGATTCCAGGGCTCCCGGAAACAGCAAGTGGCAATAAGCATATCCTAGTGGTTATTGACTACTTTACTAAGTGGGTTGAGGCGTATCCATTACCAACAATGGATGCCCTGAGTATTGCCTCTGTATTCGTGGGTGAGTTTGTGTCCCGTTTTGGGGCACCCGAAAGCTTACACACTGATCAGGGTCGCAACTTTGATTCAAAGTTGTTCAAAGATGTGTGCACTCTTCTTGGCATCAAGAAGACACGTACTACTGCGTATCACCCTGCGGGGGATGGGCTTGTTGAACGGTTCAACCAAACGCTCGAGCGTCTGCTCTCGCATTACGTTGACCAAAATCAGAGGAATTGGGATGTGCAGTTGCCGGCAGTGCTAATGGCATACCGCGCCACTGAGCAATCCAGTACCGGGTACACACCAGCGTATCTCCTGTTTGGGCGTGAACTGTGTTTGCCACAGGACGTCGCGTACGGCCTTCCTCGTGCTGAGGGGGTTACTGAGCCAGCGCACGCAAAGAGTTTGCGTGAGCGTTTGGCTGAGGCGCATGCTACGGTGCGTGATAGGCTCCGTGCTGTACACCAGCACCAAGCTCATCTGTATGATGCAGGTGCAAAACCAGTTTCTTTTGAAATTGGCGATTTAGTCTGGCTTTTGGTTCCAGCAGTACCTGTAGGCACTGCTCCTAAGCTAGCTAAATTGTGGAAGGGCCCTTTTACAATTGTGAATAGGCTCTCTCAGGTCGTGTACCGTATCCAGGACACCGCCGGCGCAGCTAAGCTGCAGATTGTGCATGTAAACCGGTTGAAGAGATGCCGTGTGAGGCCTGACCATCTGCTTCCAGCAGTAGGAGAGGATGTCACGGACTCAACCGATTTGCAGCCACTAACAACGGCAGATGATTCTGCCGGCTCTGGGTCGTATGAGCCTGATGCTACCGATGAGTTGTATTCGGCCGATGACGACGGTATTCGTGCCGAAACCTATGGTGGACTGGATGTGCCTCCGGCAGCTCCAGTTGACTTGCCCGATGCACCCGTCGCGGCACCTGGGGGACGACCTGTCCGAGACAGGCAGCCGCCGCGGTATCTCGCTGACTATCATGTTGGTTGAGTACAATCACGGGGACGTGATTCTTTAATGGCGGGGGAAATGTCACGTCCTGGACGTGACCCTCGCGGTTTGACAGATCTTGTGACAGCAGGATCTGTGTAGTGTGCAGCTCTGTGATTGAGCTGTCACAATCTATACTATCACGTGGTTTGGCCAGTGTCTTGTCCCACGTGTTGAGCATGTAGGTTGAGCGGCACGCGCTGTTCCGCGTAGGTGTCATGCTTTTGGGTGTGATATCCCACGTTGGTGTCATGTCTCTTGGACATGACACATCGTATGATTCACCGCCGGAACCTGGTCAGGTAGGTTCTCGCGTGGAATGTTCTAGGTATGTTCCAGGAAGTTCTTGACTTCCTGGAAATGTACGCTCTAGGCTTCATGCAAGATCATGTGACTGAGAAGTCCTATTGATTTCCATGATCCCTTTCGCGCTTCGTGCAAGACACGAAGGGCCGTGCGCAAAAGAATGAGAGCTGAGTGCAGAAGAATGAGAGCTGAGTGCAGAAGAACGAGAGGCGTGCGCAAAAGAGCGGGGAACCGCGCGCAAAATGAAGGCGCAAAAGGAAGGCGTGGCAAGCGCGGTACAGCGACGCCGCGGTGACCCGCGAAGGGCCCGCCGGTGAAGTTCCCGGAAAAGGGACGCGGATATGAACCAACATCCCGCCGGAGTTACGCTGTTCTATCACGTCGGGTGAGCGGGCTCCCCGACGTGATCCATATAATTCCAAGATTTCCGCGGAGACGTAGGTGAGCGGGCTCCCTACGTCCCGATCCGGCTTTTTGCTCCGTTTGTGCTAATTATTCATTGTCGTTTTCGTTATTGAACTATTGATCTTTTGCTGTTTCCTTGCCATGCATGCGTTGTCAAACCTGTATTGTTTGCCGATTTCTAAGAACTATCACGCACCGTGCTTTGCACGAACTTCTCCATCTCGTTTCTTTGGTGCATAAAAGAACATTTGTCACCTCATAACAATCACAATTAACTCTCTCCCGAACTTGAGAAATACACTGAGTCTCTCAGACCCTCTACTGGTTGTCTTCTCTTCGTGTGTTAACCAAGGTGAGCAGAACACTAAGTTGGGTCGTCGACTATATTGGTCGACCGCCTGGCGGTTGGATTTGGTTGGGTTATGAGCGATCATGACAGGCAACGAACCTCGCAGGGATGCGACACATATATATAACGATGTGCTAACTCTAACGAGTTAACGAGGAGAAATCTGTCGTTAAAATAGAAATCGTTATACAGAAATCGATACATATTATACTGTCCTATTGAGCGTTGAGAATAAGTGAGAATCGTTACCTTTGGTACACGTAAACCAGTCAATTTTGGGAAATCGTTATATATGCACCTGGTTAGAATATTGGCTTTTACAGTAATCTACAGGGCTTGAAGGCAAGGCTGTGCTAAAGAGAAGTGGAACTATTAGCAATATCTTCAACTATCCTTCAGCCATTTTCAGCCTTGGGAAAATGAACCGCACCAGGACTGTTTACTTTAAGAGCAATGGGATCGGCACCACTTCATGAAAGACGCGTGCCAAGTGTTGTGTGGCAGGTGATAGTGTGTAACCTACCGTTGCAAGCCTGCAGAAGAGTGTTGACCGATGGCCACAGGCTCTGCAGGCCCTCAGCGACGTCCAACTTGAGTAACATCACCTTGACCCGGAAGCGGTAGCTAAGGTACAGTGGAACGGAAAGCAAAGTGTTCACATCGAATACCATGACGTTCTTTTTACACCAGTATACCATGCAACTTCATAATAGTCACACACACAAGCAGTGTGATTTGCAGTGTGTCTTCCACAGCACTGTACTATGTGCTATACACTGTACCAATGTGCAGGCATGTCGACTTAACAAAACACTGCTTCTTACTGGTTGAGCTGGTCCAATGCCTGGTAGAACTTCTCTGGTGTACCGAGCAATGCCGGATCACCCTTGTAGCTGCGTATGAGTTCGGTCTGCGACAAACATACCCAGCAAGATATTATCACATCCGTTGCCAAATTTTCTGACAGTGCACGACCCAATGAGGTACACATGTCTACACTGTGTGCAAACGGTTGAGTATTATTTAGATTCAACGAGAGGTTTCTTACCAGGGCTTCCGGTAGATCCGGAAGGATCTATCATGATTCTCTGCCTTACACAAATCAAGCACGCACTATGGACCAAGGTAGCACACAACTAGGGTAGTAATTATCTGGGACAAATTGCACCACTTCTTTCCTACCAATACAGCGCTCGGGACAGTGAGGTTCACCGTCAGGAGTGAGCTGTTAAGACATGTGAGTGGCCCTTGAGTGAACTAACGTTAAGCTCGGTGCACTACACAGCCCGGTAACTAACTATGGACAGTGGGCCGTGCAGTCGAATGCTACGCTGCCACCCTGATCACGGGGACGAATTCCACTAGCTAGCATGACATCACCGCCTCTCTCCTACCTGGTCACTGTCCGGTAGCAAGACCTCTAGAGACTTCAGCTGATCGGCTTCCACTTGTGTAGTGTCCAATTTCCTGATCAGTTCAACAAATTGATCTATACTCCTGACAACCGAAACAACAAGTGGAGACAGGCAAGAGTGTGTAAAGCAGACATATGAGCATCTGCCGCCAGTCTTTGCAATGGCCAGGGGGGGGGGTGAATACGCTGATCACACACGTGTCTTGTTAGCTCAATCCAAGCTGCCAGGCACTAGAGTAGCATGCTCCGCTAACCCAAGGTGTACTCTGCATGTTATATGCACATGCACACGGATGTACTTATTTTCTGGAGGCACTGGCTATCATATTAGCAAGTTACCATGTATCCGTGTCCAATTCCTGCTTCCTCTGTAATTAATAAACCTTAGCTCGCCGTGAATGATGACTGTACTGAGAACGTGATGTCTGGCTAGTTTACAGATGTAGTGCAAGAACTGGAGGGCCTCACACACCAGTGGCATAACACATGACCACACGCACACACAGCTAGGATACATGACCGCATGCATACACAGCTAGGATACATGACCGCATGCAGACACACGATAGGATTTGCATCAAGCAGAGTAGGCAACATCAACGTCTTAGTCGAGAAAATCGCCGTTTCAGTCAAGACGGCGAGCATTCTGCCAAATGTTCATGTACATCATTGTACAGTCAACCTTGTGGATAACGACCTGGGGAATAACGACCTGGGATATAACAACTCGTGCACAACACAATCTTCAGACCTAGTGACCATTTGACTGCATGTTTTCAACCTCACAAATAGCAACAACTCGTGAACAACGAGACTTTTCTCATGCACTATTGAGGGTCACTGGTATCTGCCAGGCTGACTGTACATCTGCTACAAAAGCCGTGTAAAGAAACTCACAGCTTGAACTGCTTAAGGAAGATGGAGACATTGAGATGGACTTTCCCATCCAGTAGTGTGACCTAATGTATGAGGAGCACAGGTAAACACCATGACATGACAGCTTACTTACACGTTCACCATGTTCAAGGACACTGTGAGAAATTCAATTGTGATTGTATATACAACTCCATCCCGGCAGCAGATGGAGGAAACTGAGTGAACCTGAATACCCCTCAACTTGTGGCAAGTCACAGGCACAAACAAAATAACCTCACTTCAGCAGAGTACACATGTCAGCCTTTACCAAACAGGCATACTCGGCCCATATCTGATCCCACACCCATTTTTGAAAGATATCAATGCCTGCTAGGAGTAGCTGCAGGTCAGACTTCTCCAGGGGTTGTTGACCTGCTATAACATTTAGGTATACTGGGCAAAAATGTTGCACACACGTTTGTCCTGGCTTTGCTTAGCTTCTTTGTCAAATAGTCCCACTGAGTAGCCGCTGGGCAGTGTTTACTGTCACCCTTACCACACTCGATTCCTTCTTCTTGTCCGCCTTCTCCTCTTTCTTGTCCTCCTTCTTCTTCCTTTCCACCACCTTTTGGCTGAAGAGCTCTTCGATGCGCGGAAGAGAGCTGTCGATCTCCATCGTATCCGACGCAATGATGTTCTTCCACAGGGCCTCACTGGGCATCACCTAGTATAGATGTGGACAACACCAGCAGAAGAGTGGAAAGGGAGACAGACAACAGTGGACATAAATGGAGGAGTCTATTTTGGTACACTCCAGTCGGAGTTTTACACGGCTTCTTGTTAACCCTTTCACTGCCAGCTGACCACTCAAGGTGACAAGGCGGCTCCCTGCCAGGCTGCCAGCCGAGCTGTACAGCCTGGCACTTTTTGCCTCCATCTCGAAAAATCGAAAGGCCAACTTCTCATGGATTTTTTGGTACTTTCTGTACGGAATATCGCTTTCCAAAGTATACATCGTAGGTAGACAACTCATAAAGGAAGCCATTGCCGTCGAAAAAATCGCGAAATCCGAAGTACAAACGTGCTGCGCTAAAATCGCGAAATCCGAAGTACAAACGTGCTGCGTGCTCTAGCGCCAGCCGCTGTGCAAAAATGCATGTCATGTCATGCGAAAGTGCGCCCTGCGCCGCATGCGCTACATACACTATTTACACGATCGGTCCGGACACTCGCGAAGTAAACTTAGTTGTTGTTTTGGAGAGAGAAGCAGATCCTTTTTTTGTTAGCTGGGATTGAAAGATCTGCCAGTGGACCGGAGAGCTACAACACTGGAAGCAGAAGAGACGGCGTGCGGAATTTTCTCTGTCTTCGTGCCAACAGGACTTCAGTTGCGAGAGACTTTCGTCCTGTTGTTGCGGACGAAATTCTAGTTGCTGCCACCAGAAAACTCGGAGAACGAAACGATCGTAAGTCGTTTGGTGAAGCGGATCGTGTCGGTGAACAGCTGCGGAATGTTCTGCCGCCATGGTGGTCGTTTGTTCTCCCGATTAGCAGCAGTCCGAATACATTTCGACTTCGGAGAGTGAAGCGCTCCCCTGTTCCGTTGACAAGCGCGGCGTTCGCGGGTGTAATGCACTTTCGCATCAGCTTGCAGTAGATCGTCAGGTATTGAGCCTGAGGTAGGTGTCGTTGTAGAAAGAATATAATTATGTTGTAGCTGACATACCTGTAGTGTCTCTTGACGGTGCTGGTCGCCATTGTAACGTGGTAGTTCTTAGAACATTTTAGTTCTGGACTCGGTGAGCGCCAGCAGCGCTGTTTCCGCCAAGTTTGCAGTGAATACGTCCGTGAGGAATCCGTCGTGTGGTTGTCTTTACCCGTGACTCCAACCGCCTATCGCAATCGATAGCCGCCTGGAGTCTTGGGCAATGGCTAGGCATCAAGTCTGAACCAAATGTCATGCTCCTTGCAATGAAAGTTGACGGGAAAGAGAAAAAAACTGGCACCGACTCAGGAAGGTGGAAGTGCGTGAGAGCCGATTTCTTCCGCGCCGCTCGGCTAAAAATCAGATGCGCATTTTCAACGACGCTGGTTCGATTTTTTTCAAATGGCAACCCATGCTTCTGGCAGCGTATTTCGATGGGTATGGACCTCTTCTAGGGCCTAGTGGCCCTCTACCACGGCTAAACATCTCCAATATCCAAAAATAGCGGCCCAAACTGGGTGAAGTCTGCCTGTCGACAAAAGTCGACGGTGGCACTGGGGACTGCATGTTTGCTTGTCGACTTTCGTCGACAGTGGCACTCAGAGTGCATGAATGCGCTGTCGACTTTCGTCGACAGTGGCAGTGCAAGGGTTAACCTAAGCAACTGTACATAGAGCATCTCCGGAACAATTGGTGACCATGAACGCGGTAAGGAGCCGTGGAGTGAAACACATAGGCCCAGTGTTCTAGCCAAATGGGTGTGGGGGGGGGGGGGGGGGGATACAGAACCTTGGCCTGAGTCAGTTATACAGCGAAGATGATTTCTTCACGTCTTCTTGCAGGCAATTGATGGCTTTGTCATTTCTGCCACCTGCTGAAGTAGCGCATGCTTTCGCATTCGTTGAGCAGACGGTGGAAGGTTATATGAAAGATGATCGTGTTTCTGATCTTTTGACTCAGTGACTTGACAACCCTGTCATCCCAGCTTTTGTTTGGAATTGCCAAGGAAAGGATGGGCAACATACTCCCCCCCCCCCCCCCCCTCATAGATATGCTACAGCCCCCCCCCCCCCCCCCCCATGATGTGTAAACCAGTGTCACAAACTCACCTTCTTTTCATGGAGCTTTCCCCAGTTGAGTTTCTTCATCTTCTTGCTGGGCCTCACCCTAGTCCCGGGCAGACTCATCTGCTGCGTAGCTGGTGCTCCACATCCTCCAAAGAAACCGGGCATTCCACCTGGCGGAGGGGGAGGTCCCATTCCGGGCATAGGAGGAGGGGGTGGTCCGCCCGATCCGGGCATTGGTGGAGGGGGAGGAGGCCCACCCATTCCGGGCATAGGAGGAGGGGGAGGAGGTCCACCCATTCCGGGCATTGGAGGAGGGGGAGGGGGCCCACCCATTCCGGGCATAGGAGGAGGGGGAGGGGGTCCACCCATTCCTGGCAGCGGGGGAGGGGGAGGAGGTCCGCCTATTCCGGGCATTGGAGGAGGGGGAGGAGGTCCACCCATTCCGGGCAGTGGGGGAGGGGGCGGTGGTTCACCCATTCCGGGAAGTGGGGGAGGAGGGGGAGGTACACCCATTCCGGGCAGCGGAGGAGGGGGTGGTGGAGCTGGCGCGCCTGGTAGAGGCGGTGCTGGCGGAGGCGGTGTCGACTTTGTCAGCGATGTTTCATTTCCGTTCACTACTGATGCTTTGCTGTCCTTCTGGGACGACTGATTAGCATTCTTATCCGAAAGTGAGTTATCATGTCCATTACACAGTCGATTGGTGGAGTGTTTGTCAGACTGCATTATCTGCTCGCTCGTCTTGACGATGTCCTCCACATCGCGACTCGTCTCCAGCACCACGGCCCTGATGAGGACTTGCTCGGCTAGTTGCCACTGCTCCTTGGCTCTGCTCAGGTTGTCTTCGCTGTTGTTGATCATGGTCAGGTGGTGCAGGATGTGTCGCAGCGCTGGCTCACAATGGGCCTTCTCCGCCTGCAGAACAAGACACACATAACAACCAGGGGCGCCGGAAGGCAAGTTGGTGTGGTACGGTCAGCCATCTGAAGTACAATTCACTCGTGTGGGAGGGATGGATGAGGCGAAATTTTTGGGAAATTAGAGCCCAAATCAGTGCATTTTATTGATTCACAGGGTACTTGGGGCAAATAGTGGTACGGTCAATACCGTAGTGACCGTACCGTGTCCGACGCCCCTGACAACACACATAACTTTTACAGAACACCACAGGAATCTCTCCACCGCATTCAGCAGCACGCACAACAACAGCCTTCACCTTGAAAGCCTTGGAGACAGTGCAGTACACACAGTGGGGGGGGGGGGTCAATGTGGAACACAGCACCTACTAATGGCATGGCAGCACATCACTTTGTAAACCAGCTTTGGCTTATACGCACAATATTTGGACGACACGAAAGTCGGAGAACGTACCATTGCAGTATTTCAGCCTGACCTTCTGTCAAAATGACGTTGCTGCGGTTGTAATTTTCGAGCTTGCTCACAACTCTACACGTCCTTGTCTGCTTCATGCAGTACAGGATACATGTTTCACAAGATAAAGCCTGATCCAACAACTTGAGCTACATCGTACTCTAGGACATTCTGTTACCCCAGCTTTCCATACATGGTGGCACATCCTTGAACTACGTAGGCAATGCTGTACTGGACTTACACTGCGGCAAATATCGGTGAAGAGATTGGTCAGCTCTTTCTGCTCGTCGACATTATCAACGGACAACCCATCCAGCTCATCCTCGGCCACCAGGAGGTCGAACACCTCCAGCTGAATGAGCACGTCTTCGTCCTCCGTGGCCCTGGAGAGCACACACAGTGAGGAATATCTTAGGAGTGTGACCTACACTCTATCGGTCGCCGAAGAACTGGGGGGGTCAGCCTCGTAGCCTAGCCCGTTCTTATTTTCATGTACTGCACTCTATGCACAATTGGGTCACCGTGTATACATTGGTATGCTTTGGTGGAATTCTAGCCTGTTCGTTCTCCGGTGCCCATCAGTACTGTACACGCTGTCATACACGAAAGATGCATGTCGATTTTGAACAATTTCCATAAGTACTGGCATGGACTTGCTGCCCATTTGCCAGAGGATCAGCTGCACCACACATTCAAAAATAATAGCACCCTGCAAGCAGTTGAGTTATTCAAAGTGCAGTTGACATAAACAGGCCGATCCCAGGAGTGCTAATTTGCGGCACAAGTATTATGCTTATCTGCTGCAGCTATTGGTGCACTACAGTACCATAATGCACGTATTTCGCCTTCCATGGCCACCACTCACCGCAGTAGTCTCAGGATCGAGACGAAGCCAGATGCTGTCACGGCGGAGAAGAAAAACAGCAGACACAGGTACACATGTATGAGCACACACGCACATGCATTCCCTGGTTTGAATGTTTTGTACCAATAAACTGATGGATCAGTTATGATGCAATCATTTCTATTGTATTGTATTGTATCTAGGGTGGCAACGAGAACAGGCAAATTGCCTAATGACAATGGCACCACTTCCGTTTGATAACCCATTAACAATGCTCTTTTCCTAATTTCAACCAGGCCCGAAAAGGGTTTATACTAGTGATGTAACGAATAATCGATTATTCGAATTACCGCGATCTCTTGGACATCAATGAATAATCGATCGGATAAAATCTAGGTCGAGGTTCGAAAATTCGAATACCGTATATGTATAGGATATTGACCAAGACGAGGTCTATATGGGAAATATAGGCCGAGTAAAAGACCGAGGTCCGCTGAGGTCTTTTACGAGGCCTATATTTCCCATATAGACCGAAGTCGAGGTCAATATCCTATTTATCACGATTCCTTTGCCATAACCCCAAAATTTGAACGTTTAGGAGCTATTGTAACCTTTTTAGTATAGCATGTGTACTATAGTGTACATAGGATGTTGCCTATTTTGGGTACAAGACTGTAAGAACAACAGGGTTCAGCATCTGCAGCACAGTGGCTGGGTGGTATAAGGGGTTGCTTGAGGTTCATACTGTTGTGAGTTCGAATCCTGCTTGTTCTCTTCCTTTGTCTTCTTTCTTTCAATTTTTCTTTTTGAAGTGGAGAGAAAAATTCTAATTCCCTCCAAAGTCGAAAGATTACAATGCCTAAGTGGTCGATACAAGCGGTCGATATAAGCGGTCGATATTGCGGCGATATGGGTAATATAGGACCAGTCAAGGATCACGAGAATTAGTGGAGGTCGATATAGAAGAGTGATAACCTCTATTATACTAAGCGCCGTGCTTATATTTTTTCAACACCCCTCTACCCCGTGCTTATATTGGAGACCGCGCTTATATCGGAGACCGTGCTCATATTTTTTCAACCAATACATCCGTACAGAGCAAGAAGAAATACATGCTAGATATCATGCATGCCGCATTGATTTCCACCAAGACCGTGCTGATAATAGAGACCGTGTATATAATGTTTCGAAAGGTGCTCACAGTGTGCTAGTATTAGAGACTGTGCTAGTAATGGAGACCTGTGCTTTTAATAGAGAATATATGGTATCCATGGGCGGGCGATGTCCGTGCGCTGCACACCGCACGCGACTAGATCTGTCGACTTGAATCAGTGCATAAACGTTGAACTGTGTTGCAGACAACGACTAGACTACGCGGGGTAGACCATGGTAGGCTCTACTCTGACTCGAGTCTGAGCGCTTGTGTTGTGTGTTTGCTACATTGTACACTTTTTGTGGAATAGAAGAATAATCGTTTGTTCGCTTGAGTGGTATTCGCTAGATTATTTCTTCATAAAATTCATGGTTCGTTACATCACTAGTTAATAAGCATCATCAGGAGAAAATCTACATTCAAAGGGCATCAAACCTAGAAATCTGTTCTTTCAGCACTGAATGAGCCAACCAAGGCACGTCATATTGAACTCCCTGTACATACTTCGAAGCACTACTAAACCAGATCCCCCCCCCTCCATGACCCAGGAATCCATCATGAGGAGCCGCAAGTTCCAAAGCACCACTCACCTTGCAGCTCTGCATGGATTGCAACTCTTTTTTGCAGATCACGCTCCGCTTTCAGCAAGCAGTTGAGCAGCGCCAGCAAACTGCTCTGATAAGACGGCAGCTCCTCCGTGCGAAACTGATCGATGATGAAGGCAAGGCGCTTTGACAAGCCACGTGAGGACTGCAACATAGAAGAAGCCCACCATCAGAGTGGTATCAGAGCAGATAACATATGCCCAGTCGAGAAATGGGCAAGTGTACAGGTTGGGGAAGAGGGCAAATGCCAAGGTCGGGATAGTATGCAAGCGCGTAGTCTTAGCAGAGGGCAAATGCCTAGGTCTGGAAGAGGGCGAATGCCTCGGTCCGGAAGAGGGAAAGTGCCCAGGTCTTACCGAGTACTGGGCGAGAACATCAAGAACAAGACAATAGCCGGCGGTGTCGTAGAGGGAGAGGCAACTCAGCAAGTCAACCACTTGGATCTTAGCCATGACGTTTGTGCTGCCCAGAGCTGCAGTGGCACGCACATGCAAGCAAGGAAAGCATAGCATGCAAAGCTGTCAGCTGTAATCCATACTTGAAACTGTCATGATTTACATAATCTCAGTAAAAGCCGCATTTCCACAGGCCCTGGCACTCACTCAACGAATCCCAATTTAAAAGAATTCTTGGTTGCGAGTCCAATCGAGTAGCCTATGTGTATGATTGTATAGTTGTGGCCAAAGAGATCCAGCCCATGAGCCGAAGGCAGCACAAAGGTTCACGCGGGGCCCCAGCGGCCCTTGATTGGGCTTTCGGACCGTGCATGATGCAATTGGAATAGAAGCGCAGTGCTGCTTTCTACTTGTGGGTCCGATTTCCTTGTTGAATTTCTTTGGCCACGACTGAAGTTACTCATCAAATGTACAGTAGAACCTTCTTGTGCGGGCGGGCGCCTCCGGACTGACTAGTGTGTCTCCAGACTGACTAGTGTGTCTCCGGACTGACTAGTGTGTCTCCGGACTGACTAGTGTGTCTCCAGACTGACTAGTGTGTCTCCGGACTGACTCTAGTGTGTCTCCAGACTGACTAGTGCGTCTCCAGACTGACTAGTGTGTCTCCGGACTGACTAGTGTGTCTCCAGACTGACTAGTGTGTCTCCAGACTGACTAGTGTGTCTCCGGACTGACTAGTGTGTCTCCGGACTGACTAGTGTGCCTCCAGACTGACTAGTGCGTCTCCAGACTGACTAGTGTGTCTCCGGACTGAAGTGTGTCTCCAGACTGACTAGTGTGTCTCCGGACTGACTAGTGCGCCTCCGGACTGACTAGTGTGTCTCCGGACTGACTCTAGTGTGTCTCCAGACTGACTAGTGCGTCTCCAGACTGACTAGTGTGTCTCCGGACTGACTAGTGTGTCTCCAGACTGACTAGTGTGTCTCCAGACTGACTAGTGTGTCTCCGGACTGACTAGTGTGTCTCCGGACTGACTAGTGTGCCTCCAGACTGACTAGTGCGTCTCCAGACTGACTAGTGTGTCTCCGGACTGAAGTGTGTCTCCAGACTGACTAGTGTGTCTCCGGACTGAAGTGTGTCTCCGGACTGAGGGTGCCTAGGCTGAATGGTGCCCGTATCTTAGTAGCTTCCATGACTGGGAAATACACTTCAACCATATTGGATATGACGTGTTCAGTTCAGTTGGACGCACTTTCCCCAGACTAACACCATTCACAAGCACACACCGTAAAGAGCCGAGGGATATGATCTCCTATGCGGTGAAATACTTCGTGGCCGACCGCCAAAATTGGACGGCAGGGTTTGAACGAGGGAGGTACCCGGCGTATACAGGAGGTCTGGCTAAGAGGGGTTCTACCGTGTGTGCTCCTCCGCACATGACATATGCAGTTACATGTACTTGTATGGCATGTGTCGAAGAAACCTGTACTCTAAGTGACCACCTATCTTCAGAGGCCACTGTGTGTGTCAGACCTGTTTATGCAGTGCATTGTAGCTAGTGCAGGCTGCAGTACAGAGTCGGACTACAGACTGAGTGGAAAACCAAGCTACTAAAACTACACAGCGTACACTGTATTGCAATGAAACCTGCAAAAGACGACTGCTCCAGGGACCAACATGTGATGGCTGTGTAAGGGTGGTCTCCTTTTCCAGGGTATAGTATTTTGACTGGAAATAACATCCCTTAGGCTTAGTCTTAGGTACAATGGTCCTCTGGGAGGGGTGGTTGCCTTATTTGTTGTTGTTGTTTGGCTTTATTTAGAGTGGAGTTCCAAAACAGGCCTAAACCTAATGACATGGTCCTACTGATGACAATGGTCCCACTTATTCAAGTGGTCGCCTTGACAGGTTCAACTGTACTGTGACTACAGATGAACTAACTATTACTTGGTGGTGGGATCTTAGGAGTATCTGCACTCTGCTTTATGCAAGGCACAAGGCATAAGGGGCTTGCAGGTTGCAGCTGTTCCAACAGTGACGCATGTAAGGATAATCTCAGGCTGGGCCATGGGGAAGGATGGTTTTTCTGACAAGCATCTCATGTAGAACTGTGACCATGCAAATCTGCCCTTGCTTGTAGTGTTAGGCTAGCAGAACTGCAGAACTGAGCTCTACTGTACAGTGCCTGCTGCCAGTCTAGTATTGGCGTGGTTGGTTCCTTGCTGCTGGCTAGCTGCTGGCCCTGGAGAGTGGCCCTGGTCATACTCAATCTTGAAAAGGGTGTGGTAGATTTACTGGCACCCCAAGTAGAAGCAAATGGTACCATAAATACCCCACACATGACTCTCTGACACACACACAAACACACAAACACACACACACACACACACACACACACACACACACACACACACAATGTACACTACACAGTATACACACACAACCCTAGTACATGTAACCTGCAGCTATGGCCCCCCATACTGGCCATAGCTAGGTATGACACGACTCCAATTTCCAATCAAAGCAAGCGTGCCTTACACATGTACTGTATGATGTACTAGGTAATGGTTTGTAAACCGGGAATGGAGAGTCACAATCATCCAGGACAAGGGTGAAACCAGTGATGTACTACTGCTGGACTGCTCTAGTACAGTACATATTTGTAGTACATGTACATTAGATGTGTCTGCCTTGAACACAATGCACAACATGTCAGACACTCAACTGACTGTACATGTACATGACATTGTACTCATGTACTGCCAAGTCTGTGAATGACATTTTCCCTGAAATCCTCCTCAATCCACACATTTTTAGTTTTCCCCTTTTCACAAAGTGTTTGTTCATAAAGTTGATTGTTCCAACTAGGAACACACGCTTCTTGCCAAACTTGACACTTGTGGTGAGTCAGTCAAGTGTCAAGTTCGGCAAGAAGTGTGTGTTCCTAGTTGGAATAATCAACTTCATAACTATTACCGCCGAAGTCGCAACTTCTAAGTTTGTTTGTTCATATTTGTTTCAATTATTCAGAGATTGAGTTGGATGAAGATATCACTGCATGGGGCTTCGGTCCCACAGTGTACTATACATGTGCCCTAAGCCTGCCTGAGGAGAGACCAAGACACCAGGACCTCAACTACTCTTCAGGCTCTGGTCCTTTTGTTGATGCTTTCTAAGACTAACACATGGGCTGGATAAGATAGTATAGAGGGAAAGCCAACCGTTGAACCAGCCGCATACGCTGAAACGTCACCCGTACGTCCTGCGACCAGTCGGCTGTCACACTGTACATGCCTGTTTTCTATTGAGTTTACTGGCCGCCAATTGATAATGACAAAACAGGCAGCACCGTGACTGGTGACACTTCACAGAGAATGTTTACTGCAAGGGCAGGGCCTAAGCCAGAGTTTCCACAGTGAGTCAAGGGCATTGCACTGAATTCCAGCCTTCTTTCCAGACTAGTGGTTAATTTAAAACAAGGGAGGGACACAACACACATGACATGATACTTTGCTTCTCTCAACACGGTGTGGGCCACTTTTACATCTCGTTAATGAACTCATGGCCAGGACAGGTGCAGCAAACTGTTCTTGTTGAAAAAGTGATGCCACCTTCTTGGAAGCCCAAATGGCCCAGAACCCCATGGATAGATGTCCTAGCTTACGCCAGCCAATACACTCAGACCTCGTTTAACCGCACACATCCGTTTTCCACAAAAATATCTGGATAGGCGAGGGAACACACGTATTGTATGCATGCATGGCATATGCTGTAAATCGGTAACCAACGATTTTCTTCCGGATGGCGAGGGATCCGGATAAAAGAGGACCGGATAAGCGAGGTCTGACTGTGCATGTACACCCAGAAAAGACAACCTAACCCTGCCGCTCCCAGTAGCCTGATCACAAAGAGCACAAGGTGTGCCGTCGATGCTGCAGAAAAATCAGCATAGCAGCTTATGGCCACCCCTTTGGCTCCTTGCTCTCCTGCACGACATTCACATTCCAATGTATGGCTTTGTGACTAGTGGGCGAGGGAACCGGATAATCGAACGCACATACTGTATGTACGGATGACATGTGCTGTAAATTGGTAAATCAACGTGTTTCTTCCTGATGGCAAAGGATCCGGATAAAAGAGAACCGGATAAGCGAGGTCTGACTGTACTACAATGTACTACAGCTGTACTGAGTTGCCTGCCCACATGTGCACAAGTAACAAATCTACTTCGAAGTAGTTACAACTACTTACAACACCTATCCCCAACACTAAGGACTAATACAAACTGTTATAGTGCTATATGCTAGGAATAGCCTAGGAGCAAGATTAGATGCACCACCTGTCCATGTAACAGGCTTCTGTAAGAGATGGAATGCTGGTTGGAATGTGGAATGCATGTATGATTCAGTGACAAGTGCACTGTGACGCACGGGCACGGCCCACTGATCATGCATACCTGTGCTGCCTAGTACTGAGCCCCTGTATATTACTAAACCCACTAGTTTGTTACCAGAAACTATCTGAACAGATAAAGGGTATGCTCACCACACAATTGAATTGCATTGCAGTGACCTATCAAAACTAGACTTGGATACAGGGTATATACTGTATACTGTAACTACAATTATCATGCTCCTGTCGGATTTCTCTCCATAGCTACCTCAATGCCAGCATCACCGCATGGCCAATACGATCCGTGACCAACATCACCCCAACACGGCAACACCACCGTGTGGCTAACACCTAGTACCTCCAAATGCCTGCCCGTGACCACCGCATGACTAATACCACCGCATGACTAGCACCAGGGCATGACTAACACCACCGCATGGCCAACACCAGCATATTATTATGGACATGGACAACACATCCGCATGACCAAAACCACGGTGTGACCAATACTGGTGTACATATCACGTAGCCATAAGTACGAAACTGATCAAGCAAGAGTATGCATACAGTCAACTTCGCGTATAGACACTCGGCGGGGCATCAGAAAAGTGTCCTTATTCGCGAAGTGTCGTTATACCCGAAGTCCCATTATATGTATTACAGTTGGATGTGACTTTGCTCTGGGCATGGAAATTCTGTCGTTATTTGCGAATTGTCGTTATATCCGCAGTCGTTATTAGCGAAGTTGACTGTATTGGCAGAGCAAGGAACTAACTACATGTGCGAGTACTTTTTTTACCGTGCACATCCGTACATTGTGGACCGTGCAGTGCGACATCATGCGATGCGGCTTGGGAAATCTAGGCGGAGTGATGCCCGTAATTGCCGCCTCTGCACCATATTTACAGTCCCTGGTAAACTAGTTACGTCTTTCAATTGAGAGCAGATGTGCGAACTGTTCCTAGTTTGCAAGTGTATCATACACAGTCTGACATCACAGGAAATCACAAGTGGCGTAATCTAAGCCAGATGCTGCTGATGACTTTCCCTGGAGAACAAATATTCACACTGGAGTTGTTGCTGGATGCTGCATCACTAGGGCCACAGCCATTTCAAGGCGCTAGTAAACTTGCCGTTGTGACTAGTAAACTTGCTGGTGTGACCTTTGCTAAGATCGCAAACATACACCAGCACCAAGCTGCAAATAGTCTTCGTTGCCAAATTCAATCAGGACTCAAACACGAGCAATATCATCGCAGCCCATCTCCTTCAAAGAAGTACTTGTATAAGTATATTTCACAAGCATTTGTGTGCAGCCCGATTTTTCGCTGTGTACTTAAAGGTAAATGAAAGAACACCCCTCCTCTTGAGCTGAAATGGCCTGTGCCGGTGCATACAAATCGAATGAAATGATGTACAGTGAAACCTGTCCATGGTGACCGCCAAAGGAACCTTACAAATGTACCCCCCCCCCCCCCCCCGTGCATAGAGGTGGTCTCCTTGTATCCAGGGTCGTTTGACTGGAAATAACACCCCTTGGTCCTAATGGTAGTGGTCCCCTGGGACGGGTGGTTGCCTCGACAGGTTCTATTGTACCTCTGTATACAGTGCATTCGCCAACATAAACACTTCTTCTGCTCGCTGCACTGATTCGTCATAGACCACAACAGTGGGGCCACTTTTCCGTAGAATATACTTCTGAGATGCCGACCGCTGCTGCATTTGTACAAGTACGTCATGTTGACTTGCTCGTGCTGCGACTGCATCACTAACTGCCCACAGACAACAGTGGGCAGGAGCATGTAGATGTTCACTGAGAACCTTCTCTCTGCAAAACTGACAGATCGCCGTGTTTCTTTGCTTTATTGCATCGACATGATGACAGCCATTATCCAGTTGAAGGCTGATTGGAGACCCGATCTTCGGCCTTACTGTTTGAAGCCTTTTTACTAGATAAACAAAACTAATTAGGAGCTCTCAACCGAACTTACGAGGAAATTCATGAATTTCCGTGGAAACTGGAATTTGCTGCCTTGGAAAAGCAGTCTGCAGCAATATCCGACACAGCAGTGATTATGCGGCGCTTCTCGTTGGCCTTGCACTGCAAGTTTCTTTTTTCTCTTGCAATGTGACTGCCGAAGACCAGACCGCAATGAATGCTGTGTTTGTGGAGTGTTGAGTAAAAGAAGTTGTTTTACTTTCCTGAACTTAGAAGCAGAGTGTGAGGAATTTGTTTAGAAAAAAGGAAACACAGATAATCAGTTACATAATCTGCTTGTAACAGTATCCGTTCTTACCTATTGCCAAGGACTTGACCTGCTCCTTGCCAGTGTCGATCAGGTAGTCCAGACCTTCGCGGCTGTTCGTCACGTCCTTGATGCACATCACGCACTGCAGCAGACCCACCGCCATCATCAGAGAGCCAGGCTCGGACACTCGCCGCTTCGGTGCAATCTTGTTGCTACCAGTACCACCACCACCAGAAGGACTCGTTGTCCGGCCGATCTCTGAATTTCCTCCACTGCCCGGTCCACCGCTCAGTACGCTCAGGTAGGAGAAGAGTTTCTCCAAGCCACCGCTTTTCAGAAAGCCTTTCATCCAGACCTTGTCGCACTGCTTCAATGCCAGATGCAAACGACCCAGGCTAGAGTCGGGCTTTTCGTGCAGCACGGCCACAATGTCCGCGGGCCTCGACTTCACAATGTTGTCCACCGATCGTTTGCCCAGGCCGCTGGCTCCCTGGATGACCGCGTCGTGCACCATCATTTTCACCGGTACGGACTTGCGACGCCAGAGATCTGCCATCGTGATTCGGAAGGCAAGCTCTTCTCACTAGCAATGGTTTCCGGAAATTTGAGGGTGATAGGGACAACTCGAACGTAGAAAACGTAGAAATAATCAATTAATTATCTACACCGGACAACACAGGTCAGACCAAACCTCGATGCCTCGCCTAGAGAAATATTGAGCCCACGCTCAGCATATACACGGGACAGTCGTCCGCCTAGGCTGTACTGGCCTGTGCTGCAACGTTAGGCGGTGTTACTAGCGGTGGTGGTGGTTGAGAAAACACCAAGCAGCCACACAAACACACGACACATCACGCGAAATGTAACACACCCAGAGAAAACATTACACGCTTCAGCAGCAATACTGAGTACTGCGACAACAATGCGAGGGCAGTTCAAAGCTTCGCTAGCGAGCTATTGAAGGTCACCACACTCAGAAGCCTACTCAGGACTGGGTCACAGTTCCACACCGGGGCAAAGAGAAAGGTACACACCACTTCTTCCTGTACCGCAGTCGTCGACCTGCACAGCGGACCTCTTCCTGCCAACTGACGAGGTCTTGCGGGCGGGGGCTGCTTTTTCAACACGGATATCTCCGCCAGACTCCGGTGATGATGAGAACGTAGCGAAGAAGGTGCGAAGGAGGTGCGAAGAACACTCGTCCGCAACGTAGATCTACGTCCGCATCAGCCACTGCATGCACTGCAGTGACACTCACCACACACAGACACAGTCTGCGTCTGCGAAGTGAAAGAAGTGCAGATGGTCAGAACACCTAAAGCGTCGCTGCGGCTGACAGTGACAGTGCTAGCTGGAGAGTGCACGCACGGTGACACACTGACAGAGTGTGATACACGTACACGCACACACGCAGAGAAATAAATGACACCACCGCTGTAATCACCCGAGACTGTGTTGCCTGTTGGAGTTGCTAGTCGATACTGTACTATTAAGGTTAATGTATTATCAACTATCAGCTGTCTTGACACTGACAGCGGAACAGAAACAGGTAAAAACTGAGAAAGCTGGCACGCAGCGCCTTGCGCGAAGGCGTGTCGAGTACGCACCCTGTGCTGGAACTGCAACACCCATCAAGAGTGACAAACCATCACTCATCAGTGCCGTGTAGATCTACTTGTAGTGGTTCCGTGATGAAATGCGAGCTGATAAGATGGTTCCTTGGGTTTTTGATGGGTCCTTCCTCAGTTCTTGCTACACCTACGGCATCAGAGACGATCTATTCCACCATCACAGAACATTTCACGGTCCACGGCCATCAGTGTCTGCAAGGACTAGACAGAAGTACACAATCATCATCTGGCCATCGCGTACGTGTTACACGCATACCTCCACCCGCATTGGGCTAGATTGAATTTGAAACGATTACGTGCTCCTGTCGATGGTCCGTCGAGATGCTACATGTAGCTGGTGTCACAGTGGTGTGAGACACTGAAAGGTGGAGAAGGAGAAAGCCACAGCCAACTCCTTGGTACATGGTCGGGATCAGGTCTAGTATACTATTACAAGTACTCAGTGCATGCAGTGTAGCTTGCGTGCTGCAGCTGCTGCTTGTTGCATTACTTTACTTGGTTACCTATGCAATCTAGTACATGTAGTTGCACCCGTCACAGGGTTACTAGTTTTTCCTTGTGATTTCGACAGTCAAGGCAGCGGTCGTTCTGGTCCACCCCGAGTCGCTTGGGTAGATTTTAACAGTGGAATCAGCACTCATGGGAGAGGGGGCTGTTGCACCGAGGCAAGCTGTGTAGATTTACAAGTAAATTACAACACTACTACACATTGTACAAGTACACGGAGTGTATTTTCACGTCTATTATATCTCGTGTTTGCTAGGGACGTTACAGACTCAGTACTGAGGATTCTCCAGTGGCATGATTGGAATCAACGCTCAGCTAGCTGTCTTGATGAAAGCACGCAGTATGATTGTGTTGATGAACGACAACTGCTTGGCAGAGTTACTGACCTGGGGGGCTGGAAGGGTTGTTCAATGTTGGCATGTGACCTGTGTGACAGCGGTTCTCTTCACTGTGTGCCCACGCTAGAGAGCCGGCGGACTTCATGCTTTTGCGTGTGGCATCTGGGCCATGGGGTGTTTGCATTCAGCTCTTTCATTGTCTCCGTCCTTACTGCAGTCAGTGCTGCTCAATGAAATCCAGTCGCCACACTCGGCGTTGCGCAGCCCTAGACCTGCGAACACTGGCCTTCGAAATGGTGCCAAGGCGCAAACACTTGAGTGCTGGGACTGGATTTCATTGAGCAGGACGATTTCAACTGTACTACAGGATGCAGTGTTCTGTTGTCTTAGGACAATTTCAAACTGATATATCTTAAGAACGCTTGGTCGGATCGAAGTGGGACCTTCACCATTCGACTCAGCGCCAAAAACTCTACGGACCATGAAGTTTTGATTTTTGGGTGTAGTTCCCCTTAAGGCCTCGGTCACACTACGGCAGTCTGAAGCTGGACGCAGCGTCAAGTCGCAGCACTTGACGGAGACGTGGGGTCACACAGTGTTTTGTTTTTTTTGCAGCTCATGACTGCCGCGGCTTGACGCATTTGTCTACGTCACAAAACCACCAGGAAAACTCAATGACGACACGGATTCCCACGGAAACCGGCCTTTTGCTTATTATACAAAAAAATTGTCGGACAAAGTTTTCGAATTTTTCATTGATTTTGATTACAAGAAGACGAAAGGTACTTGTACTTGTAGGTCCACGCGTGCACGATCGTTGTTGTTTCTTTCCGAATTTGAAGCCATTTTCAGTTGTAGTGTCATTGATCAGGCAAGAAAAGTCCGCATCGCAGCTGTGTTTCTCCTGACTTCGTCATACTGGTTGTCCTTTTTGGGGCTCTTGACGACAACACAACACTCACAAGTCAACAGGCTCCAGTTGGCCGATGACCCACTCAAACAACTGGTCCTTTCTCGACATCATTTTCTTCTCAGAAAACGCCTCGCTCTTCCGCCAGGTTCGGAGCAGAGCAGCCTCGGCCTCGTAGGTCCACGGACTCATCTCGAACAAAAAGAGGGAACAAAACAAACCTTGAAGAGACGAATGTCGAATAACTGCTCAACTCAAGCAAAGTGTCTTGAAACTAATTTTACTTGAAAGACACTGTTTTTCCGCCAAGCGTCACTCCCATCAGCGGCAACGCAGCCGATTTCCCCACGTCAGACGCAGCAGCGTCTGACGCTCAAACTTCCCGCGTTGCGTCAGTTGCCATGGAAAAGCTCATGATTCTGACGCTGACGGAGCATTTTTGCCGTAGTGTGACCGAGGCCTAAAGGGGAACTCCGGTCCAAAATCACCCCCATTTTTTATTGCGGAATCCATTAGAGTATGTCGTAAGTGGTAGAATGGCGAAAACCGGAAGCTTCTACGACAAGGATAACATACCTAAATTACCAATTGCAATTTTCCATATTTGGCACGAGGGGGCCCCCTCCCACCCTGTGACGTAAAACGTTCTCAGCCCGGTCCACTCAGATGAAATTTTCAAATAATTGAAGCAAGAATGAAAAGTCCTTGGCCATTGTTGAAGTGCTTGTTGTTCTGTGCCATGCCCGATATATTGTCACGACTCGCTGCTGCGTCTCTGGATGCAACAATGTCACGAAGAAAGAGGCGCCTGCGGGCTGTCGTAGCATGGCTTTCCTCTGGCTGACGCGAACCTGACGACAGCTTGGCTATGGAGAGTATGTTGGAAGGATTTTTCTCCGACGAAAAATAATCGTGTCTGCACTGAGCATTTCACCAGCCAGGGTCTCTGCCATCCTGAAACTTGGTGGTGCATGTCATACTAATAGTTAGTAGCTCCTCTACCTCTGCTGCCAGCAAAAGCAGACCATCTTCGATTTACTTCCAGGAACGTGAGCACGATGAGGTAAGTGAACGGCATGATTTTGTGCCGTCCAGAACGTAGCTCTAAACGACTACAGTCCTACTCAAAATCCTAGTCAGTGAAGTCGAGAATTGATGTAATGTACATGGAACGTTATCATGTGTGTTATTTCGGTTCTCTTTATCTGTAAGTTTCCATTGCGTTACTTTCCGGTTGCAGCTACACTGCCACAAATACAAGGTACAGTATGATTTGTAGTCTGGAAAATTTCCATGCTGTCATACTGAAGTGGGCACCAAAACGTGTCCACTTTTCGTACAATGGCATGAGAGCACGGGTACAGTCGGCATGTCTGTCCCACAATGCCAATATAGGGAGAGCGCACGCCAAAACCAAGGAGGGTGTGCTCAGGTACAGGCTGGAATACACCAAGAGCACAAAGTGGCCAAGAAGCTGCACGACAATGTCCTGCAACTTCTTGAAGGACCTGTTGAACGATGTGCATACAACCATTCTCGGCATTCGCAACGGCACACGGCACCGGCACAACCCCATGCTCCCGAACACAGTACAGTCTTGTGCCATTGTATCTGTCAACTTTACCAGATTGTTCGTGCAGCTGCATTGGTGCAAAGCATGCGCCCACCCGAAAACACAAATATTGCCCGAGTCAAGAATAGTTATAAATCGTGTCTGTCAACTGTTTTCTACATTCTGCATGCACATGTACCAATGATTATGTGAACGTCAACCAGGCCAAGAAGCATTATCATCATCATCATCATCATGTCCAACTGCTTCCTCAAAGCCCCAGTGCGCATCTGCATTGGCTTCTGGTACAGCTGCTTTATCTTCGATACCACGCAAGACGGTATCACACGCCGCTGCTTGCGTCCAAAGTATCCATGGGTGAACCATGTGTATTGTCTATACGCCACATGTCTCCAAATCCTGCACAAAACAGTTGGAGAGATGTAGATACACATACCACGAGTGTCTTCATGATTGTGTAAAAGTAAATAGTTTCAGTGTAAATAGTTTCGGATTCGAGTTAATATTTCTATGGGCTACTATACTAAAGACACTTTGGCCTTTTTTCAAATTTACATCACTTTTACACACAGTTGAAACACTTACAGTGCTAGGAATAGTATGAATGAAAGACATCGTTGTACCAGTATAATTATATTGGCATGGGTGCAATAGAACTTCATGATTGTGTGATGGAAGTTGGTGAATTTGAATACTGTACACAAAATCATTGCACAACACTTCCTATCTACTTTGTACCGGTACATGAAACATGGAAAGAAAGGAAATAATGAAACCGATTCAGTGAATCCTCACCTGTTTGACCACGGTCCACACCTTGCCCGAAATTCTTCGAAGGAAAGCAATGCCACCTCGAGCACTGATTTTTGCAGGCAAACAACAGCAAACTCTGAGTGCTGCGTGACGCACTGCAGCCCTTCCTGCTCGCCGCGTTTACTGAAAGCTGCAGGAACCTCCCAGCAACAAGTCGACTCGACCTCGCTCCACATCATGCTGCATTGTCCGCAACGGCATCAAGCAGTGCTTCTCAAGCGAGCACTTGCAACCAAAGCGTTCTCTTCACGTTCATCTGTTTTGTAGTCTCAGAAATATTACTTGTAGACAGTTTCGCAGACGCTGATGCGCGCTTCGGCTCGAACCTAAAAGGCCTCGGTGTTGTTGAATCCGAAGTGGCGTCCACCTCCACACCTCCCGTGGTCTCCTCTTCCTCCAACATGATGATCGAATGAATACTAGTACAAGGGTTATTGATTGAAGAAAAAACAGTGAATACCTTTTTCAAAATTTCTGCAGGTCTACCATTTGAATAAAAAAATTTGGAGGTCACTGAGAACGTTTTACGTCACAGGGTGGGCGGGGGCCCCCTCGTGCCAAATATGGAAAATTGCAATTGGTAATTTAGGTATGTTATCCTTGTCGTAGAAGCTTCCGGTTTTCGCCATTCTACCACTTACGACATGCTCTAATGGATTCCGCAATAAAAAATGGGGGTGATTTTGGACCGGAGTTCCCCTTTAAGGGGGGAATGACCCTTCAGATACTCAAAAATTGAAAGTTTTAATTCTGGCTGTTTTGGGTATCCAACTAGGCCAGCGGACCCTATAGGGTGTAGAAACAAAATTTTTGGTGAAACGGACTACTGGTTCCAAAGTTACGACCGTTTCAAATTCAACAATTCAAATGAAAATGAGTACGCACGGAACGAAAATTTGTACAATTTTGCACTCCATGCAGTCGGTGATTTTCACTGAAACCGCGTACTACTAGCGAGTTTTTGACTTGAAATCGTTGCTACTGGATACCATGGCGTACAAGGAGAAGCGCTGAACAGCTTCCTGCCTTGAGAACAAAATATTATTATTATTATTAAATTTTGAAATTTGAACAATGGGGAACCGAAGAACGAGCTCGAGTGGACGTTCTAGACGACAGAAAAGGAAATATTTTGGTCCAAAGCCAGCTGCTGCTGAAGTCGACGATGTCGTTGAGGTTCCTGAGGTCGCCAGTGATGTTGAAGTGACTGAAAGCGCGTCCACGCGAAAGTTGAGCAGGAAGCCGGCCTATTTAGCTGATGAAAGCT